CATGCAATTGGCCAAAAAATACATGAAAAATACTCATTGGGGAGCATAGGAGCTAATGACTAAAGCTGAACAAATTGAACAACAGAATAAATATAGAGTATTGAATCACAGTCAATAAAATGAAATGTCCATACTTATTAAATAAATAAGGAAGAGGGGACAGTTTTTTCTTCCAGTAGGATTCTAATTAACAAATGTAGAAAGAAAGAGGAAAATAGAAAATCATTGCTGAGCAAATAGACAGAAGTAATTGTTACCAACAAGATACTCTAATGAATGCTAAAGTTAATGGACAAAAGTTTGAGGTGAAACAATTTGCATCTTCTCAAAAACATCTCCCCTAAGATACTTAACTACAGAGGGAAAGACAGATAGCAACTTTACGCTAAAGAAACCTGACAGAACCTTAATTTCAACTAAGTGAACAAGATCATCTTCACTAGTAACAAGACATGTCAACATCAAGAACGCCATGATACAATTCACTAAGGATACAACACTGTTTTTGTGGTATTTTTGATTTAAAAAAAAATGTCTTAGCCAGGCATAATGGTACATGGCTGTCCTATAATCCCAACACTCGTAGGCTGAGGCAGGAGAATCACAAATTTGAGAGTCACTTGGTCAACTTAGTAACTTAGCAAGACTCTGTCTCAAAATTTTAAAAATAATAATAATAAAAGAGCCAGGGATATAGTCCAGTGTGAAGGCCCTGGGTTGACTCCCCAGTACTTCCTGAAAAAAAGTTTCAGATCATCAGAAAATATCAGACAAACACAAATTGATAGACATTAATGAAAGTACTGACCATACCTTTGAAAATATCAAGGTTGTGGAAAACAATGACAAGATCTCTTATAGACAAAAGAAGACTAAGGAGAAATAACTGAATGACCTGGATAGATGGTCCTGGATAGAATCCTGGACAGGAAAGGATATAGTGGGAAAAACTAAAATTTGAATAGTATCTTTGGGTAATATTGTACCTATGTTAATTTACTGGTTTTGATAATTTGCTGTGGTCATGTAAAATGCTAATACTAAAGGAAGCTAGGTGAGGGATAAATGGAAACTATATACTGCTTCTGCAATATTTCTCTAAGCCTAAAATTTTCAAAGTAAAAAGTTCAAAAATAAATAAAATTCCTACTTTCCCCCCTCAAAAAAAAGTCAAGACTCCAAATTGGAAAATTACTGAGACAGAACCCAAGCCTGGAAGCTATTCTTAGCTTCCAGTCTCACAGTAAAGGTAAGAATTAGAATTGAGGGACAAAAGAAAGGGAAGAGAAAGTAATTATTCACAGTGAGCCTCCAAGTCCCTTGAAATACTAAAAACCAGACATAGGAGTTGAAAGGTCATACTGACTAGAAAATCATTCAGAGGGTAGTGACAGAGAAGACACTCATAAACAGAATGATGAAAAGGAGACATGGATTGTTTAAGAGTATGGCAACAGACCTGAAGGAAGGGCAGTTGCAACTCTAGAATTTAAATGATACAAATGCTAGCCATTATGTAAACTAGATTTTTCTGTTCAAATTCCAGATATTCAAAACTGTGGGGAGTGGGATGTAACTGGGGATTTAACCCAAGCGTACTATACCACTAAGCTACATTCTCAGCTCTTTTTTTTTTTTATTTTGAGACAAACTCTCCCTAAGTTCCCTAAATTCGCCTTGAATTTGTAATCCACCTGCCTCAGCCTCCTGAGTAGCTGGGTTTCTTTAATGTGAGATTCACAATCCCATCACAGATAGTTGAAGCAGAAAATGGTCTGTAGTGTATGAAGCACTTCAACTTCTAACAGAACCCTGTCAGGTTTGCTGCCACTCCGTCCCTTTGATGAGCTTTATAATAAATGTTATCATGTCTTAGATGCAGCATTAAATCAAAAGGTTTTATGCACAAGGTTATACTGACCTCCAGTCTTTTATCTATGTAGCCTACCAGTAGTTTGTTTCTTCCCTCACAGGAATAAGGTAAAATTTACCTACTGTCTTCTTCCAAATAATTAATGCAACTTTAGTCAATGTCAGATATAGTTTGTATAAAATTGTTTTAATAAACAGTTTAGAGATTTAACATAAGGAAAATGAGATGTAAACAACTAATATAAGTAGCTAAAAATGAAATTTAAATCTAAACACTTGATTAGCTAATTGAGAATATTACAGAATTATTGCTAAAGTAGGTGTGAAAATGATATTTCAGTTATGTGTAAAGAAAGAGTCTTTATCTTTTAGAAATAAATATTGGGACTGGAAGGTGTAGCTCAGTGGCAGAACACTACCCTAGCATACTTAAGGCCGTGGGTTCCATCCCAAGCAGCACACAAATGAAATAGAGAAAGAAAGTGGGGCATGGTGGGGGAGACTGGATATTTATAGATGAAATTATGTGATATCTGGGACTTGTTTCATTATATTCCAATAGGGAAGAAGAGTAGAAATAGAAAAGAGAGGGCAGGAGAATGGGGAAAAAATAAGAACCAAGATGGATTATGTAAAGGTGCAAATTTCCAATGATGAATGTCATTATATCGTATACCTTAAATGTACCAATATAATTAATTAAAAAAAGAAATAGAAAGGAGAAATGAAAAAATGAGTTTTGATAGTTGTAGCTGGATGACACAAACATGAATATTGTCCTATTATCTCTGCTTATATATATTTTTCATAATAAAAAGTTAAAGGAAATTGAGAGCAAAATATTGAAATTTAGACAAATCATTTTGAGAAATACAAATTCACCAAGGAGAACTGTTTTACATGTTGATTTATTGGGGTGGGGATAGGCTAACTCTAAACCATTTCCGAGAAATTGTAAAAATAGTGACTATGTATGGTTGGATATGATAACTTCCACAAAGCTGTAGGGGGTGCTTTATAAATCTGTTACTAAGCACTGATACAGTAAGAGACTGAAGGAAAAAAATCTACATTCCCCCACTCATTTCTTGTTTTTATACATAGGAATATTTTGGATAATATCAAAGACAATTTTTGGAAAGTGCCAAATGTTTTTGACAGATTGTGTATACATATATACTACAAACTACTTTGAAAGGTCTAAGTAAATAACCATTTTTAAGCCACATCACAGATCTCTGAGAGATGTTGAATGGTTTTTCTACCTGAAGTCTGCGAAAGAAGCAAGACTTTATATTTGGAATGCCAAAGACATATTTAAAATTAAGAGAGGCAACCCCAGAAGCTGCATCATCAACATTGACCTTGTTAAATGAAACCTCATTCAGCCAAGTACAGATTATTTTTAACGAGATCAGTAAAAGAATTAATTTTCTATATTGCAAAATTTTTCTTTTTAAAATGATGTGCCATTACTTTAGGTAAAGGGTAAATTACAGCAGATTTGCTGAGCTGTGCTTATGTATGGGACCCTGACGTATGGGACCAGTTGAAATAATATATGATGGAACTTTATATTGATTCAGAGGTTTGCGTTTGCTTTTTTATCATGTGATGATTTGACAGTAACCACTGACATTCACTGTTTATTGAGAGGATAGATCAATTGATGACAAAGTTTCTCTTAGGTTCCTTACCATTTTTCAGATAGGTATAAGGCAATCACTAGTCTACCTAAAGAAAAAGAGGTTTTTTTTACAAAAATGCAACTTTTTATTTCATTATCCATATTATGCTCAGACTTCATTGCTTTATTACCATCAGTTTCTATCTTCAGCTTTATGTATCATTTCCTGAATTGTTTGATTTTTTTTGTTTATGATTCAGGTATTTTAAAACTATTGACATTTCCAGCATGTGTTAAAGAGCTAGGATGATGATACTCAGAGATCAGGAATCTTTTCCAAAGCAGAACTCTAGAAGATGACTGTTGTCTGAGAGATGACTGAAGAGCTGGAGTCCAGTAGTATATTCATGAGTGGCACTAGCACAAGTTTCAGTTGCCTATAGATTCAAAACTAATAGCTGAACAGGAGTATGTGACACTTTAGGGTGATGATGAGTGAAGAGAAGAGTGGATGTGATGGTAACTGCAATATCAACTGACATTACTGCTCACTTACTCTGTGCCAAACCTCAATGCCAAATTCTTTCCGTACATCTAGCTGAATCTTTCTTGCCAGTGTTGTCTTTTCTGGGTAGTAATGAGCAAGACTGGCTAGATTAAAATCGCTGCTGTGCTTGCTCTTGAACCAAAGGGATCAACAAAAAGATAAGGAGTGAACTCTGTGCAAATTCAGACAAACAAAAAAACTACAAGTTCTAGTCAGATAGGACAGCCCTTGGGTGTTATTTAGACTCAGATTTTCTGAGTTCTTTGAATTTAAGACCTGCACCTAGCAAAAAAACTCACCCCATACTGGGCATGGTGGCACATGCCCATAATCCCAGCACTCAGAGGCTGAGACCAGAAGATCACTGTGCATTCAAGGCCAGCCTGGGCAACACATCGAGACCCTGTCTCAAAAAACCAAAAAAGAAATCTCACCCTTTTCCTCCTTCCTTTTCTTTAATTTTGACACTGTAATTGGGCTCTCAGAAAATACTTCATGATAATTTTTAAATCAAAGTCATTTTTATAACACAGTTGTAATCAAAAGTGATATGAGCATATGTATTTGTGAAGACAGATGATTGTTTCTGATTAGTTTATTCCTAAAACTTTGTTACAAGATCAGAATCTTTCATATACTGCTCTGTGCTGAATAAATGTCAGTAATATTAATGTACATCTTGAGTCTCAGTCTTCCTATTATAAACCAGAGGGAAATTTCAATTTTTATCTATAAATTTTAATTTTAGCTTATGATATCATATATATATATATACAATAGAAATGTGTCACATTCCTGATCTGACATAAGTTAGGCAATTGAATAAGTAGCTTTGATATTTACTTGAATAAAATTACAAGAAAAAGACAAAATACAGTGTTACAGAATGTTCATATAATAACCATAGCTGTTGCTACTGGTAAGTTTGTTTGCATTTTAATATTTCTTTTGTAGGTGGTTGCTTATCACTATTGTCAAGCAGATAATGCCTATACTTGCCTGGTACCAGAATTTGTCCACAATGTTGCTGCCCTACTCTGCCGCTCACCTCAGCTGACAGCATATCGGGAACAGCTTCTTCGAGAGCCTCACCTGCAAAGCATGCTGAGCCTTCGGTCCTGTGTTCAAGACCCCATGGCTTCCTTCCGGAGAGGAGTCCTGGAGCCCCTAGAGAATCTCCATAAAGGTACAAATGAAAACCAAAGGAGCCCTGGATCACCTGGGTCATGCTATAGAAATGATTATTTTTATCACGTTGCCAAAACTAAATGTTCTATAGCTCATGTCCCACAGGATACAGTTAAGAGATAAAAGATTTTACTTGGAAACAAATTCTTAGAGGAAATATTACTTCTTCCCTTCTTTATAAAAATTTTCATTTTTATTTTTAAATGTAATTCATTTTCCTTGTACATAGTAGAGCTTCCAGTCACTTGTGTGAGGCCCAAAAGATGAAGTAAGTAAAGTGTGACTCCTCCTCAGTGTTAGAGTGTTTTGGTTAGAAACAACCCTGGTCTTTATGTAATATTTTTTATTACCCATACAGCCCTGTATTTATACTAGAAATCACTTAATTGTATACTTTGAGACGTATTTTAGAAGGTAGAAATTTCATAGTATATAAGTTACATATTATTACTTTTTGGGGGGCGGGTACCAGAGATCAAACTCAGGTCCTTGCACTTGCGAGGCAGGTGGCGGAACCCACTGAGCTAAATCCCCAGCCCTATTATTACTACATTATTAAAATGAAACAAAATTGTGGCCGGGGATTTACCTCAGTGGTTCCACCACCTGCCTCGCCAAGTGCAAGGTCCCAAGTTCGATCCCTGGTACCAAAAAAAAAAAAAAAAAAGAAGCAAAATTAAGTGGAATCTAATTCCCACTCATGCTCATGCCTTTCCTCCCATTTTCCTCTGCGGTTCCATCATATGTAGCATAAATACGGCCATCTCCTTAAAGGTAGTGCATGTCTCCATAAGTCTCTATTCTCTGTCCTCTTAACAATGTCAGTGCTAGAAGCCAGAGTATGGATTTTAATAAGCATTAAATTCCTCAATAATCCTGTTTATTCCTGAGATACTTACATACCTCTCTCAAGGGCTTCAAAAGTACTTTAAAGAAAGGTATTTATAATTTCTATAATCCTGAAAGTCATCTTCAAGTATTTCAAGTTCACTGCTGATTTCATAGATATCAGATTCCTCCTTCTTCTCAACTCTGATAATCTCTGGTCCCTGTCTCTACTTCTGTTATATCTTCTTCTACCTATAGCTTGATCATACCTTTTAAACCTTTTAATTGTTTTTGTTGTTGTTGTTTTGTTTTTTGGTGGTTGTTTGTTTGTTTTGGTACTGGGGATAGAACTCAGGACCTTGTGCTTGTGGGGCAGGCAGCAGCACCACTGAGCTGAATCCCTGGCACTTTTAAACCTTTTAAGAATTTGGAATTTTTTCTACAAACATTTTAAGCATATTTCCTGAAAAATCAGTTAATCTCTAAATTCTATGAATTCTGCCTTCATTATGTTTCTTATATTCACTTGTTTCAAATTTGTTCCTACTATTATAACCCCCAAGGATTATTCAGCTACCCATAACATTGTATCTATATTACTACTCATTCCTGGTCTTCTCTGCTTCTCTAGTGTAGTGCTTTTTTTTCCACACTATAATACCTTTAAGTTTTATAACAAAATTATATAGCAAACTGGGATAAAAATTTATGATTACTCATGACTGGATATGACTTGCTCTAGGGCTGTAGCTGTGCCAGGCCGCAGATACCCTGAGGGATACAAAGAGGGGTTTTGTTAGTTTTTTTAGACTGGAACTCACTATTTTGCCCAGGCTGGCATATAATTTCCTGGGCTCAAGTGATCCACCTCAGCCCCCAAGTAGCTAGAACTACTACAGGCATGTACCACCTAGTGCTGGCTAAAAGACTGGTTTGTTTTGGTTTGGGTTTTTTTGGTACCGGGGATCGAACTCAGGACCTTGTGCTTGTGAGGCAGGGGGCGGAACCACTGAGCTAAATCCCAGACCAAAGACTGGATTTTAAGCATACTTCTAACCCATTTATGGGCTACCTATTAGGGAAGCTCTGCCTTAGTCACTCCAGTCTTCTAAACTTTATGTATTGCTTCCAGATAAAGCTTCATAAAACATTGCTCTGATCCCTTAATTTTCCAGTTCAGAAATCCATACTGAATTAACTTCTGGCTTCTTAGTCTTGTATTCAGGGTACTTGATGGCCTAGATCCAGCCTACTTTCCAGCCTTATTATTCACTTTTGTCCTTGTGAACCCTTGTTTACATGTAAACTAAAATATTCACCAGTCCTTAAACAGTCCCCTACATTTTCCTGCCTTCATATATTTACTCATTAATTCCTTTTTAAAGTATTCCTTCTCCCCACATTTTTGCCTGTCACAATTCTACCCATCTTTCAAAGACCAGTTTAAATGCTACCTTACTCGTGAATCACCTGCTGATTCACCTTATCCCACCACTCAGAAACTAATGTCCTTCCAAATTGACATTAGATCCTTTTTTAATATCTGTTGTATTTAATACTCAACATTTTATTATAAGAATTCATATTTTTTGAAGCACATTTGAATATGTACTTTATGCCAGATATTATAATTTGTTTGCAATATTAAAACTGATTGTTTCTGTGCTTATCCCTTTGACTAAATTGTTCTTTATGTTATTTAAGTTTAAAACTTTTTTTCAACTACAGGTTCATATGGTGGGCCATAGAAGAGATTAGCCATGAAAAATTTACATACAGGAAAGCCACAATTAGAATTGCATTGCAGAAGGTCAGGCAGTGAAGAAAGAGCCTCTGAGAGGGTGGTGAGAAGGGGAAGGAGGTGACTTGTTTTAATGGTCAAGGTGTAAGAAAATAAAAGATGTGAGAAAATAATGCAGAAGCAGCAGAGAGAAGAATAGGCCACAAGTGACCGGAGTTAAGAGATAGAATAATCAGGACTCAATAATCTGCCAGGCATTGTGGCTCATGCCCATAATCCCAGTACTATGAGAGACTGAGACAGGAGTACAAGCCTAACTTGGACAATTTAGCACCTTAGACAGACACTGTCTCAAAATTTTAAAAGGGGTTGAGATTAAGTCAGTGCCAAAGCTCTGGATTCAATCTCCAGTACTGGAAAAAACAAACAAAAACTGATAGCAAATTAATAGCCCTGCTTGATCAAGATGCAATATTAGCTTAACATTTAAAAGCTAATCAGTATAATTTGTCATATTAACAGAACAAAAATGATTATCCCTATAAGCATCTTAATAAATGCAGAAAAGCATTTGACAAAATACTACATCAATTAATGATAATAATCATGCAAACTAGGAATAGAAGAAAGCTTGGTTTGATTAAGGGCAACTCCAAAAAACATAAACCTAATGGGTAAAATATTGAATACTTTTCTTCTAAGATCAAGACCAGGGCAGTGTCCCCTCAATCTCACCACTTAAACATTCCGCTGATAGTCCCAACTAGTATGTTAAGAAAATAAGCCAGCAAATATTATAAAGATTGGAAAGGAAGAAATAAAGCTGTCTTTATTATTTGCCTACAAAACTTTAGAATCTACAAAAAATCCTACTAGAATTAATAAATGCAAAACTTTAATTATAAGGAAGAGTCTGGCTAACCTGAAATCACCATGCTATAAAGAAATATAAACCATATTGAGAATCCATTTGATTATTCCAGTTTTCATATCATTCTAATCCTGACACAAAATGTGTGTGTGAAGAAGCCCCCAAATGATTCCAGCCCTCCCACTCAACTCGTAGCTGTTTGACATAGCAAAGATAGCTAGAACAGATATTTTAAGTAGCATCAAAACCGTGAAATATGTAAGAATAAATTTAACGAAAGATGTGTGAGACCATCACAGTGAAAGCACAGTGAAAACATTGCAGAATGAAATTAAAGAATTTAGTAAATGAAAAAGATATGCTGTATGTATGGGTTGGAAGGTTATCAGTTTTTCCTCAAACTGGCCTATAGATTCCCGTGATTTCTATCACAATCCCAGTAGGATTTTTATGTGAAATTTACAACAAATAGAAAATCATAGAAAACAAGAATAGCTAAATAAGAACAAGAAGAGAATAGAAAACAAGAATAACTTTAAAAAGTTGAAAAATTGAAAGCATTTCATTTCAAGACTTAGAGCATTGCAGATTACTGCAATAATCATGACAGGCAGTAATGTTTCCCTAAATGTTTAACAACCATCTTAGGGGCAAAAAGCTTATTTGATGCATAAAATTTAAGCAGTTCATAAGCTAGCTTGAGTTAGCTCTAATGTTCCATTGACAGGGTGGTGATCACACAAGGATAGAAAGCAGAACTGTGGAGCAGAATGGAGAATACAGAAATAAACCCACACAAAAATGCAATCTATTCATCTTCTCAAAGGTTCCAAGACAATTTGGGAAAGAGAATTCTTGCTATTAGATGGTACTGGTACCACTAGATACATATATAGGAGGAAAAAAATAGTTTCATCCAAGTGTAGTGGCAGTAATGTTTTGTGGTGTGGTAGCACATACCTGTTACCCAGCTACTTGGGAGGCCGAGGCAAGAAGATTACAAGTTCAAGGCGATGCCACCATCTCAAAATAAAAAATAATAAAATAAAATAGGCTGGGGATATAACTCAGTGGTAGAAGGCCCCTGGCCTCAATCCCCAGTACTACAAAAAAAAATGTCAATTCTTACACAGTACACAAAAATAAATTTAAGATGGATGAAAAAGATTTAAAAAGCTTAATCTCTAAAAAAAAACACCTTAATCTCTAGAAGTAATAGAAAAAACATAGGATATGCTCACAACTTGCAATAGGTAAAGACTTCTTAGGAAAATTTTAAAAGGTGATGAATAGCTAGGTACTATAGTACATACTTGTAACATCAGCTACTCAAGAGGCTGAGGCTGTAGGATTACAAGTTTAAGACCAGCCTGGACAGTTTAGTGAGTCCCTGTCTCAAAATTTTAAATAAACAAGGCTGGAGATATAATTCACATGAAAACAAAAGGTGATAGATTTCATCAAAATTAAAAATATCTTCTCAGCAAAAGCTAACACTAAGAAAAAAAAGGCAGGTCACAAAAATGAAGAAAATATTCATCTGTGTGTGTATGTGTGTGTGTGACAGTGAAAAAAAGGACTTATGTCCACAATACCTAAAGAACACATACAAGTCAATAATGAAAAGATAATCCACTTTTTATTTTTCATTTATTTTATTTGTTTATTTTGTGGTGCTGGGCATTAACCCCAGGACCTCATACACTTTCACTGAACTACATATCCCTAGCCCTTTTTATTTTATTTTATTTTGAGACAGGGTCTTGCTAGGTTGTCCAGGCTGGCCTTGAACTTGAGATCCTTCTGCCTCAGTGTCCTGAATAACTGTACCATCATGCTATATGCTATACCAGCATGTGTAGGCAGGTATCATCATGCCCATCTAACAATCCAATTTTGAAATGGATTTTATATTTAGACACCTTACAAATGAACATATGGTAATAGCATACAAGGACATGAAAATGTGCTTAATGTCATTAGTTATCAGGAAAATTAATTTAAAATTACATTTTACTTCATGCCAGTTGGAATTTGTAAAACTAAAAAGAGTGAGCATCAAACATTGGTGAGAATAACAAATTACTAGAACTTTCATTTACTGTTGGTGGTACTATAAAATGGTACTACTTTGGAAATATATTTGGCAATTTCTTATAAAGTTAACTATATATCTACTTTATGGCCAAGCAGTTCTGTTCCTGAATGTTTACTTAAGGGAAATTAATGTCTGCGAAAAGACTTGTACAAAAATGTTTCTACTGCATAGTGAGATCCTGTCTCAAAAACAAACAAAAGAAAGAATGTTTCTGGCAGCTTTATTCATAGTCAAAAACTGGAAACAACCCAGATGTCCATTAGTAGAATCCATGAACAAATTGCATATTTGTTCAATAGAATATTTGTTAGGAATAAAAAGGGACAGGCTAATAATACATTCAACAGTGTATATGAGTCTCAAACATTACATTTGGATGAGGGAGATGCTATACATTTTGATCAGGGTGTTGGTTATATGAGAGCATATATTTATGAAACCTCTAAATTCTATAATTAGATACTCTCAATTCACTGTATATAAATTTTATTGCAGTAATTTTTAAAATAAAATTTTTTAATGTTAGAGTTTTCTTTCCAGCAAAGTTCCATGTAAAACATGTGCAATGTACAGTCAGGAGCCAGATTTCAAACTGTATATTTTTCTTTTAAAAATTAGAGTCAATATTTCTCATAATACTTTTCACAAGTATAGTGATTAAAACACATAGACCCATGTGCAGACAGAAAGCAAATGAAATGCTTCTGAAGTTTCTCAGCACGCTTTTGCTTCAGCCACAAATATGAAATGAAGTAATGATTTGTTTTTATAACCAAAAGATAATTTAGATACAATGCAAAGCTTTTCTGATAAAAATGTACCTGAGTCTTTTCACTTTTAATTATTTCTATGCAGTACACTAAGTATAATCTTATGCTCTATGGTTCAGTTCTAACTTTACTACTAGCTACCTTCTCTTTCTCCAGCAGTCTTTGTAATTATTATTTTCCTTAGACAACTAGATAAGGTCTAAGAAAGGGACTACTAAAGAAGACAGTTCAAGTATTTGCTCAGTATATATGTAATTGTAGGCAATGAGAAATCCTTAGTGATGCATATTTTTAAGTGATTAAAAACAGAGGTTCAGGGGCTTGTGAAGCCCTTGTAGTAACATGTCAGAGCAATAACTCTTAAGAACCAGTTCATTTAAAATTTTCAGTTAATCCATGACAAAAATTTTTAAATGGGTACTGCCTAGAATTTGTGTGGATGTAGATATAGTATGGTTTTACATATATTTTAAATGTATAGAAAGTTTAATGTCTTTAATTTGTAATGTTGAAATATTTTTATTCTATGAAAAAAAGTTGATAATGGATAGTAATTGTATTTTAAATATTCTTATATACCAAAATATGAAGTAGCAGTCCTTTGTTAGTCCCTATTTTTTTTTAGTCTTCATTATTAAAATCTTATAAAAGTTCCTAAATTAGCATATTATTTAAAAATCTGAGCCAGGGATTTACCTCAGTGACACCATGCCTGCCTCACGAGCACAGGGTCCTGAGTTCAATCCCCAGAACTGAAAAAAAAAAAAAGAAAAGAAAAAAATCTCCTGCCAAGCAGAGTGGTGCATGCCTGTAATCCCAGCACTTAGGTAAGTGAGGCAGGAGAATTGCTGTGAGTTCAAGGCCAGCCAGGGCTACACAGTGATTTCAAAACATAATAGCAAGACCCTATCCCAAAAAAACAAAATGAATGAATGAATGAAATCTGCAAAAGCTTGAATATCAATATGCAGAACCATTTTCCTAAGGCTGGTTGCATTTGAAAGACAAAGCCTAAAGATAATTAAAGTCTCATCTCTTAAATATATAATTGAGAACCCTCATTTACCAAAAAAAAGGAATTTTGGGGGAATAGTTTTCATTGTTTTACAGTATTAGTAGCATTAGAAAATTCTTTTCATTTATTGTTATGAATCTTAAAAAAATATATCTCTAGATCAACATGCCTTTTTTACTACTTAACTGATGAAATATTTGTTGATATCTCATACACCTATAATTCATAGGTAATTCCTTCAAAGGAGAAGGAGAATATTTGAGGGGGAGCCAGGATTTAGAGGAACTTCTTGATCTTGATTAGAAGGAAAAAATATTCCTCTTTTAAAAAAAAAGAAATGACATATTGTCTCTTTTACTCCTGGGATGAATAATATTTTCTACTGGGAATTGGTGCAAATGAAAGATTAATTTTATTAGCAAATGAATTATTCATTAAAATTTCTAGATCATGCTTTACAACACATCTTTTTTTTTTTTTTTTTTGAGACAGCCTCACAACTCACCATGTAATTTAGGCTTGGTCTTGAACTCACTTCGTACCCCAGGCTGGTTTCAAATTCTAGGCAATCCTCCTGCCTCAGCTTCTCAACTGCTAGGATTACAAGCATGAACCACCACACCTGCCACTACTTTAGAGCACATTCTTGATGTTTATTCTTGAGAATGTATTTGTACTGTTTTTTCCCTTTAAAAAAAAATCTCTACAGATATATTATGAGCAGCCTTTTTCTCTCCTTGAAGATTATGTCTTTCTTAGGAAGGAACCCATGTGAAGTTAAAGGAGATATAGAGTTGATGAATGTAGGCGGTTGTGTGCTGGTAAATTTTTTACAGCCATCTAAGCAGGAAGACTCATTTTAATGATTGCCGATTTCCACTGTATAAAAATTCTCACCATAGGGGCCGGGATTTAGTTCAGTGGTTTTGCCGCCTGCTGCGCAAGCTCAAGGACCCAAGTTTGATCCCCGGTACCAAAAAAAAAAAAATTCTCACCATAGCCACTTTCAAACTACTGGCTGTTTAAGAACCAATTCTTGAAAATATTGCAGTGGACTCTCCTGAACCATACACAGGACAGCTCTACCATATCACTGGGCAGGAATAAGTGTTGGTGTTCGGCCAAGAAGTCACAAATAGAAAATTCTTCTGGTAGACGTAAAAGACATAGTTAAGCTAAAAGGAGCCAGAGTCCTTAAAATCAAAAAAAATAACAACCCCCCCAATTGTTTGAGTAAATCCCAATTAGTTCCAAGCAAGTCTTCTTTTTTTCTTAATTCTTTGGACTCCCTAAAGGAGTATTTTTTTTCATAATCTTACATTAGCTAGAATGCTATTTCATTAATAATTGTTGTTAATAGAGCTGGAATCCATAGTTCATTTCCTAAAATGTCACCACAATAAAGCAACAATTTAAGTATTGAGTATTTAGTACTGAGTATTGGAATTCAATTCCTTTATACAAAGGTTGTGTGTTACAGGAAAAATGTAAATACTTATTAATCATTGTAAAAGATCTGTGTATGTTCAAATGTAAAACAAAAATAGCATGTATAATTTGTTTTTGACTCTCATAAAGACAAAAAGAGCCTATCTTGTTTTGAAGTCTATTGACTTTTTATTCTGAACTCAGCTTCATTTTTTTTCTCCACAGATAAAACCTATTTCTATATCAGACATTTAATGACTTCTTGCTTCCTTCTCTTCAAAACCTGTAAGGTCCTGCCAAATAGTAACTTTTATTTACCACTCACAATTGATTTATACTAAAATGTTCATTCAATCTAGGGATTTTTAAAATTCTAATTGCTCGGTGTTGTTCAAGAATTGATAAGCATTTAATGAGAATAGAAACCTAAAGTCTCACTAAGCTCCTTCTTTGGCCTAGCCCCAGAAATAAACTGATTTTGTCAATTTAGGATCAGGTGCAAGCCAGAAAGGTACTGAATACAAATAGCAGATTTTTTTTTTCCCCATATGACGTCTTCCCTGGGAACTCTGGGAACTGACACTGGCTCATTGAGGTTACTTTGAGTGTAGTCTATTTAGGAAGCTACAAAGATCTTCTTATGTAACCTGCCGGGTTCAGGTCTGTGTTGGTTATCACTTCTGTTCATCCCTTCCTTTCCACTGTATAGTCACATGTAGTCTTCTATACTGCTTTACACTTTAAGTTTAAACCTTTTTATGGGAAATTCCCAAAATAACATATGACAGTATTCTCTTTAGTGCTATCAGATAAGGAAAAAGAAAACCAGACATGTTCTATCTAGCTTTTTCATGTGTGAGAGAAAAATGAATTTCCATATGCAAATTCTTACAACTCCAATGCTCAGATTGTCTCACAACTTACTTAATATGGATATTCCTGAAAATGATGACTCATATACTCACATATATGTAGCAAAAACTTTTATTCCAGGAAAAAAACAACACAATTGAATTCACTAAATGAATTACTTCATGTCTTTATAAAGTTATTTACCCTGAGCATTCAAGGCATCATGAGAGGCCTTTTCTAATATTTTTTTCTGGCCAGATAGATGATCAAAGACCCAGTAAGAACTCACCTATCTACTTGGTAATTATTAAGTAATTTGTTTCTTTCTATCTCAGAGAGAAAAATCCCAGATGAAGATTTCATCATTTTAATTGATGGATTAAATGAAGCAGAATTTCACAAACCGGATTATGGGGATACAATTGTATCATTTCTGAGTAAAATGATTGGAAAATTTCCTTCTTGGCTCAAACTAATTGTAACAGTTAGGACCAGTTTACAGGTATGTGTTTGTTTGCTTTTGAACAATAAATTATTTCCCTTGGAAAGGGCTTAAACTGAAAAAATTCTAGACTCTAGTCTCCTTAGCAAAGATGCTTTCTAAACCAGTACTATATCCTAGAGCTCTACCAAGAGTAGTTCCCAAAGAGTAAGAGTTATGATCTTTCTGTATATAACTTAAATTCCCATTCCCAGTCCTCTGGATAAGGTTTGGTAAAATGTCCCTGTTTCCTAGAATTATCCTGAGGACAGCAGTACAAAGAAAATCCCTAACACTTTGGCTCTCGTCTCACTTCTAAATCATTTAATGCTATGCAAAATCCAGTTCAACCCACCATCTCAAGACCGATTTTTTGGTTCTTCCCTCTGCTTCTACTTAAACAACTTTTCTGTACCATAAAGGTTGACATGCTATCTTCTAACAAAGATTGACAATATTAGGGCTTTAGATTAAATTTAATTATCTTCCTTGTTTACTGACTGGTCACTTAATGGCATAGTCAGTGGTGGTGGACCTATAGCATGTGTGCAGCAGCAGGCTGTTATATCATTGAGAGCTCTAAAAGATTCGCCATCGCTGGCCTAGATGAAGGACCAGCTGGAACTAAAGTCTGAAGAAATATATGGTCTAAGGATAAATAACTCCACCTTTCCCACCATTGTTATTGTAGCCAAATTGGTATTCTTTACATATTCACACAGGGTTTTTGGGGGCGGGGGTGTCCCTCACCAGGCATGCTGGTACATGCCTATAATCCCAGCTCTTTGGGAGGCTGAAACATGAAGAGCACAAGCTTGAGGATAGCCTGAACAACTTAGAGAGACCCTGTCTCAAAATAAAAAATAAAAAAAGCTGATGATGTAACTCAGTGCTAGAGGACTTTCCTACCATGTGTTGTAATGCCCTGGGTTCAGTCCCCAATACCACCCAAAAAATTCTCTTTTGATCAATATATATTATTCACCCATCCCACTATTTTGACACAACTCCCTGCGATAATTGCTAATACACAAAAAAGAGTCTTGCATTAAGTCCCTCTTTTCCCTTATCCCAGGCCCTTGTTATTCCTATATTTTGCAGGTTGTTTTTACTGCCTTCCATGATCAAAAACTCTATTTCTGTATCCTTACTTGTGGGGGTTTTTTGTTTGTTTTTTAGTTTTTTGGGTTTTTGGATTTTTTGGGTACCAGGAATCAAAACTCAGGACCTTGCACTTTCTAGGCAGATGTGGCGCCGCTGAGCTAAATCCCCAGCCCATCTTGTGTTTATTATTAATCTCAAAGTAGTTTGAGTTAAAGAATGTGTATGAGTCAACATAAATGCATCTTTACAACTAATTGTCCAATAGTTTGATTGTTGAAGATAAAAGATAAAAATAGAAGAAGGCTTCAGAAACATAATCTCTGTTTTTACCAAATGTATGCTTATGCAGTATTATCCTCAGATATACTTTCACTTAATGCCATGTGCAATTGCGGAAGAAATTTTAAGTATATCTGGGTTGAACAGATAACTTTAATTTTTTTATGCCGAGGAAGAGGAAAAGTACCATACGTATTAATCTACAAAGTCCATATGTCAGTGTCTTTACATAGATTGAACCCAAGGCCTCATACATGCTAGGCAAGCATTCTACCACTGAGCTACATCCCTAGTCCTTCAACTAAGAATTTTTTTAAATTATTTTCCTGGGCTGGAGATTTGGCCCAGTGGTAGAACATTTGCCTCACATGAATGAGGTCCTAGGTTCAGTCCCCAGTACAGGGAAAATATTATTTCTTTCTGCATTGACATTCTGAAGTAATTCATAGGTTATTTCTACAAACATTTCTTAAGTACTTGGATTGCATCAGGTACTGTTCTAGAAGTTGAAGATTCATCAGTTAATAAGACACACAATATCCTTGCCTTCATAAACCTTATGTTCTAGTTTAAAACACAAAAAAGTAAAAATTAAACATATAGGGCCAGGGATTTAGCTTAGTGGTTTCACCACCTGCTATGCAGGCGCAAAGACCCAAGTTCGATCCCCAATACCAAAAAAAAAAAAAACTAAACGTATACTAAAATTACAGGTAGTGTTAAATGTTATGACAAAAAAATAAAATGAAGTAAAGGGATAAGTGGAGATGATAGTTGTTTTATAAAGGGCAGATAGGAAAAGCCTGTCCAAGGACCCTTATGAAGTGATGAAATATTATGTACCTTTTTAAAAGATCTCTTCATCTGCTGGCTGTGTAATAATAAAATGTAGGGGACCAAGAATGTAAGTAAAGGAATGGGGACGTGGCTCAGTGGTACATCACTTCCTTTGCATAGGCAAGCCCCTGGGCTTGATTGATCCCCAGTGCTACCAGAAAAACAAAGAGGAATGCAAGCAGAAATGTAGGTGAAAGATGATGATGACTAACTTACACTAGAGTGGTAATGATAGAGACCATGTGAAGTGTCATATTTGCAATATATTTTGAAGGAGAGTCAGGACTTGATGGACAGATTTTGGTTATGAAAAACAGGATTCAAGAATGGATTCTGAGGTTCAGCTGAGCAAATGAATAGAATTGTTGGTTTGAGGGGAAAAAAATTACATATACCTCCAGGACTTTGGTGGTAGTGCCAATGGTAATGCCATTTATTGACATGAGAAAGGTTTATGGTTGAGACAGAATTTAGTAGTTCTGATTTAGTCACATTAAGTTTGTGAAACATCTGAGTATAACTGTTGAGTATACAGAGATATAAGATGGGAACTCAGGGAAGATAACTAATCTGGAAACAAAGTTATGCATCATCCACAAATTGATGATATTTATTTATTTTTTTATTAAATTTTATTTTATCCCATTTCTCCCCCTCAAGGTCCCTCCTCTCCCTATGTACACAAGCTTTGTTTCCATTTGATGATATTTAAAGCAAAGTACTCTGTTCTGGGGAATGAGAATAGGAACTTAAACTGGTGAGGAAAGGCTGGAAAATGAAAATGAAAGATAGTAAGAGAGGCTGGTTAAGAGTGTCTAGCATGCTAAGAGAAAAGTGAGAAGAGCATGCTATGGAAGCAAGCTGCAGAAAGTAACTCAGAAAAGATACAGAAAGGTGTGGTTCTGTCAAACACTGCTTAGAGAATGAGGAATTTAAGAACTGAAAAGTAATTAACTGATATGGAAAAGTCAGGATTACTTGACAAGAACCATTCCAGTGAAGCCTGATTGGAACAAATAAGAGAATAGGATGAGGGGGGTTAGAAATACCATATAGAGAAAACTTTTCTATAAATTTTACTGAAAATGAGAACAGAATCAGAGGGTAATACTGTAGATGGAAGGAGGTATATAGGGTATATACATATCTGTGTGACTCAGTTGAGAAGAAGAAATGGGTGCAAAGAAAGAATGAGTACTTGCAGGAGCAAAGTCTATTTGGACATAAGAAAAGATGGAATCCATTACATAAGGGTCATCACTAAGCCACCTTCCCCCAACATAATTTCCAAGCCGATCCCAAAATACCCAGCTTTCTACTATTAGAAGTGTTCCTTTCAACTCAAGAATCTGGAGAAGGCCTGTGTTAAATATAATCATTTTATGAGAAAGGTTAGAAAGCCACATTCTGTTTTGTTTTTCTTTTTTATTAAAAGCCACATTGTTACATGATATTCTTTGAATCCTTACACATTCCTCTAACTGAATTGACTTTATGCTATGGTTTATACTGAAAAACTGGCTTACAACCAGAGTTACGCAGCACTCCATTTTCCATTTGAACTCTAAAATGGGAAGGTTGTTTAGAATACCAACCATGAGTTGGTTTTTAAAGTCTCTTTACAAAGACCCATGAAAATTTTTCTTAAGTCTCAATATTAGGAAAAGTGTTTTGTATCCCTCCTCTGTAGCTAATTTGTTTTAATCTGTGGATACTAATACTTGATCATGTTTTCCTCTTTTCTTTGACCACTAAGAAGTTCAGAGTAAATTTGTAGATGTCATAGTTTATCACAAGAGTTAGGGGAAACTGAAGGTCTTTCTGTCTCTCTCTTTCTCCATCTGTTTTAGGAAATTACCAAGTTGCTGCCTTTCCATAGGATTTTTTTGGATCGACTAGAAGAGAATGAAGCCATAGACCAGGACCTGCAGGCTTACATCCTGCACCGGATACACAGCAGCTCAGAGATCCAGAATAACATTTCACTTAATGGCAAAATGGACAATACTACATTTGGCAAGCTCAGTTCTCATCTCAAGACCCTCAGTCAAGGGTCTTATCTATATCTGAAACTCACATTTGACCTCATAGAGAAAGGCTATCTAGTGTTAAAGAGCTCTAGCTACAAAGTAGTTCCTGTTTCACTCTCAGAGGTATACTTACTCCAGTGCAATATGAAGTTCCCAACCCAGTCTTCCTTTGACCGGGTGATGCCTCTCCTGAATGTGGCAGTGGCCTCTCTCCACCCACTGACTGATGAGCATATCTTTCAGGCCATCAATGCTGGTAGCATTGAAGGCACACTAGAATGGGAAGATTTTCAGCAGAGAATGGAGAACCTCTCCATGTTCCTAATCAAGCGCAGAGACATGACTCGTATGTTTGTACACCCTTCTTTTCGAGAATGGCTTATCTGGAGAGAAGAAGGAGAGAAAACCAAATTTCTCTGTGATCCCAGGTAAGACATAGATCTATAATAAACAATTCTGAGCCTATTTTATACTTACAGCATGGAGCATGGGTATTCAAAGTAATGAGAAGTGTTCTTTATTGAACATTTCACAAATAGAAGACCTCATCACAGTTTCTTCTCAAGGCAAGGCTAGGATGAGGTTTATGTGTATTCTCACGATGCTATTTCCTTAATATTCAACATCTTCATAGATATTTAGAATGTTCCTGTGTTTTCCTAAATAATTGTTACTGGCCCATCACAAGCTGTTCTTACGATAGCCATTTAACAGATTTCCTCATTATTGTTCAGATATTAAAATTTTTTGACATTTTTCATCTCTTTGTCTTAGAACAGAATTACTTTTTTTTTTTTTTTTTTTTTGGTACCAGGGATTCAACTCAGTTCCTTGTGCTTGCACAGCAGGCAGTGAAACCACTGAGCTAAATCCCTGGCCCACTTTTAAATTTTTTATTGCAGGGGTCAGGAATTTAGTTCAGTGGTTCCAGCACCTGCCTCCGCAAGCACAAGGTCTCGAGTTCAATCCCCGGTACCAAAAAAAAAAATTATTGACATTTTTTAAGGTGATTAGCACTCATCTGTAATCCTAGCACTTGGGATCCTGAGTCAAGATCATGAGTTCAAGACTAGTTTGGGCTACATAGCAAGACCTTGTCTCAAAGCAAACAAAACAAAACAAAATAAAAAAGTAAAACTATAATCTCAAACCTTATACCTGACAAAAGACTTGATGATATCAGATAGTCTAGTCACTCTGCTTTCATATGTCATTTTGCTCATTTGACTATGTAGGCCTTAAAGGAACTGAATCACTTGTCCAAAGTCATAGTTATTGGGTACGTGAAGAGAAGAGAGACTAAAATACTAAAATATAGTAACTACCACCACTCCCCATCCTTGCGTCCATGGCAGACATTATTAATTTATCACCACCACCCCACCACTCTTTTCTTTTGAACTTGACCCTAATTTGAGAATCCTTATGAACTCAGCAAACCACTGTATATGAAATTGTTTCCCATTCTATTGGGTAAAACCTAGTTTGTGGCATCCTAGTAGGTTGTGATTTCTACTCCTCCATGCTACTCTTTTCTTAAAAGAATCTTTAATAAAGTAGGTGTTTTCAAAAGTTAAAATTAATACTGAGTTCCTGGTAACAAGATTCTAACAACATAACTAGCCAATGTAGAGTTTATTCTGACACAGAAATAAGATAAGCCAAATATGACTGTTTCTCACACTGTGTGTGACTCATCAGAGAGACTGAAAATCTGATGAGGCTGGAGTTTTATTACCTTTGTGACTATGTTGTTCAACAGACAACTGTGCTTGTGGGCATGCTGCTCAACCTACTTCATGCTGATTCATTAGGAAATTAGTTCCAGATTCTGATCATGATAGTAAGCCAGGCAGTAGAATGTATTGCATTTGCCATGAGAAGGAAAAAAAATTTTACAGAAAAATGCTGTAGTGGAAAGAAGAGGAACTAGGTTTTTTTGTTTGCTTGTTTTTTATTTTTTTCCCATTAAGTTTATTGGTACATTTTAGGTATAAAATACAGTTACATTCATCATTGGGATCTTGTGCCATTACATGAGTATCTTGGTTCTTATTTTTTTCCCCTTCCCCTGCCCTCCCTTCACCCCCTCCACCCTTTCCTATTTGCAAAGACTTTGTTTCCATTTTTTTCCTTTTCTCATATTTTTTCTTTTCCCTTCTTTCCTTTCCCCTACCCTTCCCACTTCCCCTGCTCCTTTAGACCTTTTCTTCCTATTTCACAATATCAATTATACATTTTTAAAATTACAGTATCAAGATCTAGGAGACATTACCACAGATTTTATAGAATTTAAAAGGATATAGAAAGCATATCACAAAAATCTTTTTTGAAATAAATTTGACCATTTCTAAGAAGTACCTTGGAAGACAAATTAATGAAACTAATTCTGGAGGGAATATAAAATTTGAATAGCACCTATTAAAGAAAGTATATTCCTAGCTTGAAAACCTACCTATATGACAACAGCAGGCTCATATACATTTTAACTGATAAATTATATCAAACATTTAAAGCAGAAAAAAGTAACACTTCTCCCCTCATTTTAGGAAATCAACATTGTGCTAATACTAAAACTGGATAAAGATAATAAAAGAAAAAAGTATGAACATAGATAGAAATTTGTTTAACAAAACAAACTATTAGAAGTCAGATCTGGCAATATGTAGAAAGTGGTTTTGTTATAGGGATGGCGGTGTTGGTTCAGCATTGGAAGATCCACCCCCAGAAGTCATCGTTTTAACAGAGGAAAGGAAAAAAGTGGTATGATCCTGTTAGTAGTTCCAGAAAAAGTATTGGACTAAATTCTACAGCTGTTCATGGTAAAAGCTATCAGGAGACTAGAAGTAGAACAGAACCTTCTCAACAGATCAAAGACATGTACTCCACACTTCCAGCAAAAATGGCTTATATGAATGGCGAAGATACAATGCTTTCTCCCTAAGGTGGGGAACAGGGCAGATATGCCTACTCTTCGTCTGTCCATTAAACTTTGAAACCTAGGCCCAAACCAAAATAGTCTGGCAATAAAATGACACAATTAGGATAGGATTGGCAAGGTAGAAGTAAAATCTTTATATGTAGATGAAATGATCATCTACAGAGAAAATACTAAGAAATCTCTAGGAGCCCCTAGAACTTGTATTTGAATTTAGCAGGATTAGAAAACACAAGGTATATATAAAAATTCAGGTCTGTGTATACGTGCTGTAAATGAAGAATTGGATATTGAAATTTCAAAGTTATTAGGAGTACAAAGGACCTAGAAAAGTAAAAAGAAAAAGAAAAAAAAAGTGTTGAAAGACATTTAGTACCTAATTTTAAGACTTCCTCTAAAGCTACAGTAATCAAGGCAGTGTTGGTATATAGAGTACAAAGAAATAATTCAGGGTATGTTCTTTTCCCTCTCTTGTCTTTGTAGTAATAGAGACCCTTCACATGTACCTCAGCTGAATCCTGTGACTAAGATAAGCTCAGCATTCTTCAGCTATTAATATTTTAGGCACAAGATTTTAGAAACAGACAAAACAGAAAACTGAACCTGAGTCTGTTACATAAATTATATGGCATTCTCAAAAGGATTTTGTTGTAAATTACTCCCCTCTTACAAGTTTTCAGCGCCCCCCCCCATGGATACTAAAACTGCAGGTAGGACCAAATCATATAGATACTATTGTTTTTCCTATTTCTACATACCTATGATAAAGTTTAATTTATAAATTAGGTACAATTTGAAATTTGTAACAATATTTCATAATAAAACAATTTTAACAATGTGCTATAATAGCAACATGAACATGGTCTTTCAAAATATCTTATTGTACTTTTACCTTTTCATATAAAGGAAGCACTTTACAGCTTCTCTTTGGCATATCAAAATTGCCAGCAATGGTTTGGGAGCCATTATTACAGTTATTTGAACACAAAAACTGCAATAACACAATACTGCAATAACCAAGAGAGCTACTAAGTGATTAATGGGCAGGTAGCATATACAGCATGGATACACTGGTCAACGGAATGATTCAAGTCCCAGGCAGGACAGGTGAGATGGCATGAGATTTCATCACACTACTCAGAGCACACATAATTTAAAACTTATGAAGTGTTTATTCCTGATATTTTCCATTTAGTATTTCCAGACTGTAGTTGACACTGGGCAACTATAAACATAAAAAGTGAAACCACAGAAGTGGAGTAGAGAAGACTACTGTAAATCTAATACTGCTGCTGATGCTTAATACATAGTTAGCAACTACATATTTAAGAAAAAGACTAATCTAGAATTACCTAATAAACTCTTTGAGATCAATTTCCAGACAAATCCTCCTGACCCATGTGCTCTCCCAGCCTGAGAGGATTAAAAGCTGAGGTCTAAGGCAGACTACCACTGAATTAATATCCTTACAAAGGATGAAATCCTCAGGGACTCCCAAAGGAGAAAATATGGGCTTTTGTTTTGTTTTGTTTTGTTTTTTATTTCTTTGGTTTTTGGTTTTTTGAGACAGGGTCTTGCTATGTAGTTCAAGCTGGCCTTGAACTCACTGTGCATTCCAGGCTGGCCTGGAACTTGTGGCAATCCTTCTGCCTCACCCTCCCAAGTGCTAGGCGTGCACACCATGCCTGGCTAAAATACAGTTTTTATGCAGCCATATCAAGACCATATAGACTTGCTTTCTCAGCATTGTTTTTTAACTAGGAGCATTGCAGCAGTCGGCTGATACACTGGAACAAGAAAAACAAATAATTCTAACTTCAAATGTTGAATATTCTGTTCCTTAGTGATTACAAAACACAGTTTCTGGACATCATATTTCACTCAGTGACAAAGTAAAATTATAAATAAGACCAGGAGTTACCAAAAAGCTCTCTTAGATTTTATTTCATTGGAATTCAGCTTTTTCCCTAGCATTAGCTGGCACAGGCTTGTTACTAAAATATTAATCTAAGAGTTGAGGCTCCCTGGGTCAATGAAATGGAAATTTACTCCAAATTTAATGCTACTGGGAAAGCCCAAGCTGGACTTTCAAAGAAACTGGCTACACAATTACTTTTCATTTCAGTAAAGTCTGATTAATAGGACTCCCTTGAAGCAGGGTTTGTCTCTGTGGCAACTTATGCTTCCTGCACATTGTTTCCCCTTCTGTTCTCCATTTCCTCTCCCACTTCTCTCCATATCTACTATATTTCAATAGACCAGACAAGACCAACTCATTCCTTTAAAGTCATACTAGGTAATCCAGTGCCTAATGTGTATATCTGTGTGTGAAGAAAGCTCTCTGAAGCAATACAACATCCTTACCTCTTAGTCCATTTTCCTGGGCTTTCAGTACTCAATCTTAACCCTGAATTTGTTGACTTTATTAGGGAATTAGACACAAAAGAGAATGTTCTACTGATGCCAACAAATAGTTAATCTCCCTTAGAA